AATTCATTTTTTTTTTTTTTTGATGGTTTTCACATGAAATTCTTTTCCTAAAAAAAATTAATGGATTTTATTTGAAATCTAATATAACGTGTATAGCAGGGGTGTCAAACATACGGCCAACAGGCCCGCACTGGCTCGCTGCAGAGTTTCATGCGGTCGGCGAGATGACTTTGAAACGTGTAAAAATTATATTATATATTTACTGATTTTTAAAAAAAATAATTCATTATCAACGTTTTTTTAGGTCGACATTTCGCTGCTTTACCTTACCAAAAAAGTGGATACAGAGTGTAGATCATTTCATGTAGTCCTTTTCTTATTTATTCGTAGAGGTGAATGAGAAACCTGTGTGCTTGATGTGTTTACAGCAGATTTCAGTGCTCAAAAAAATCAGCACCACTCATCATGCCGATATATACAATAATTTGCAAGACAAATCAAAAGAAAGAAGATGAGTAAATTGTTAGCGAATCTGAAGAGACAGTCTGCTTTAACTCAAAGCTGAGATATCAGCCAGGCAACAATAAAAGTTAGCTACCGTCTTGCTTGAGAAATAGCATTAGCATCAAAGTCATATTGTGAGGGAAAGTTCATGAAAACATGTATACTGAAGGGTGCAGAAATTGTATGCCCAGAGAAGCGACATATTTTGCCAACAACAGCATGGCTAGAAACACTGTGGCAGATAGGATTTCAGATCTTTCTGCAGATTTGGACAGGCAACTGAAACACAGAGTCAAGTCATTTATTGCATTTTCGGTTGCAATTGATGAAAGCACGGATATTACAGGTGTTGCACAACTGGTCATATTCATTCGTGAGGTAGACAAAACTTTGACCGTCACCGAAGAGTTCATGGAGTTGGTTCCTATGATGGACACCACAACAGTAAATGACATTTTCATCTCTCTCGCTAGAGAGCTGGACAGAGTCGAAGTGGACTGGGTCCGTGCTATCAGCGTGGCTACAGAAGACGCTCCAGAAATGGTTGTGTGTGGTGGAAGCAGTTGTTGTGACGCGGTACAGAGAGAAAGTACAAACTGCAAATTGAGGACGTGATTTTTGGATATTTCACTACATTTTGCACAGGGGGCCATTCTGTTGTATGTCGTTAAAAATGGATCACGTCATGGAAATGGTTGGCCAAACTAGAGACCTGAATCACCGTTAGTTTGACATTCTCAGCGATATTGGCGTTACCTATGGCTTGTCATATCACACTGAGGTAAGGTAATTAAGCCGAGGTGCTGTGTTGAAGCGTTTCTTTAAGAGAAGTAATTGAACAGTTCATGGAGAAAGAGGGAAAACCAGTGTTAGAATTTCAATCAACAGAATGGCTGCAATATTTAGCATTTATCGTGGATATTACAGAGCGCTTGAATGATCTGAAGAAAATGTTGCAAGGCCGTAAAAAGTTGCCACACAGTATTTTGAAAGCATACGCGCGTTCAAGTTGAAGCTAACTTTGTGGGAGACACAACTGTCAGGTGGTGACCCTGTTCATTTTCCTTGTCTAAGAGATGTGGTTGCGACCACAGATAATGCTGACATGAATCCGTACAAAAACAATATCACGGGATTGCTGCGAGAGTTTGAGCAACGGTTTCAGATTTTTTAGGAACTTGAACCAGATTTCACAGTTTTTCGCTCGCCATTTACTGTCAGCACCTCTGATCTTCCTGTCAACATCCAAATTGAAATGATTGACTTGCAGTGTGATTCAGATTTGAAGAACAAATTTACCTCAGTGGGCTTGGACACGTTTTGTCAGTATCGCTTGCCGAAGTATCCCAAATTTACACCCCTTTCTGTGAAAGTTTTGTGGATGTTCTGGACTACCTACCTTTGTGAACAAGTTCTCTCTGTAATAAGCATCAATAAAACAAATCTGCGCTCAAGGCTCACACATATGTACCTAAATGACATCCTGAAATTGCCTGAAACTCGGGATTTGACGCCTGATATTGATGCATTACTAAAGAGAAAAAGATGCCAAGTTTCAGGAACATATTGAAAATAAGTGATAAAAATAACAAGTGTTTTTCAATGTTTTTCTTATAAATTTATAAATTGTATACATTTACAATACAGTGCGATAACTCACTTTTTTTTAACAGTTCCCATTTTCACTTATTTAATGTTTTGCCAAAAATAAGAAAAAAAAGAAAAAGAAAATTGTTCTTTAAACATGAACATTTTCAAAATGTACTTTTTTACACTAAATCAAAAAGAAAATTTTGAAATAGTTATTTATAGGTTCTAATTCCATTATTTTACTGATCCGGTCCACTAGTTGATATGTGGCCCGTGAACTAAAATGAGATTGAAATCTCTGATTTATAGTATTAAGATCGATTGATTTATTTTTTTTACGCCTATCAACCCATTGCAGGTTATTTAAAGTCAGAAAATATTTTTAGATTATAAGATGTTTTTTTAGATAATAAATATTTACTCATACAAGACCTACTAATTAATTCATAGCGGGAGGTGGATAAGGTGAATTCATACTTTTTTCAAGGGTATTTGCGCTTATCAAACCTTTACAGGTTAGTCAGAAAACATTTTTAGATTGTAAGATTTTCTTGAGATAAAGAAGATTTAATGCTGCAAGACCTACTAATTAATCCATAGCTGGGGGTAAATTCACAAGCGGCTACAAGGTACTGCCCGGGTTCGACGTTGCTTGACTTCGGAGATCGTACAAAAACCAATGTTTCAACGTGATGTGGCCCCAAATTTATAGCATTAGGAAATAAAGCGAGTGTTTATTTCCGTTTATATTTTTTATTCGACCTCAGTAGAGATCATAGAAATCGCAAGCTGATTATCATGAAATCTCTTCAATGGCTGTATGGTATATACATCGCTAGGTGACATGTCCACTATTCCCTATTATAAGCAGAGGCTTTGAAGTTTTCCTTCAAGATACATACTGATTGCTAATCACAGATATAGACCCCGTCTATTTAATCCATGTGGGATGGGGGTGAAAAGGATTCATACTTTTCCCCAAGGATTAGTTGTGAGTAAGTCAATGTATTGGTCTTACTAAAGATCATTATTGCTCATTTATTGATTTATTTTGGTGACAGATCAGACTAGAAATTGATCAAACAACGATAATGCAGATATTTATAATCAGAAATAACATAACCTATTACACTTATCAGTTTTACCCATTCCTGCAAAGAATTTATACCTTAGATACCTAAGCAGAAGCATCCCAACAACGCCTTCACAATCAGATTCCACTCTTTGATCATATCACTGTATAGAGATTTACCAATTTTACTTTAGTCTAACACAAAGTCATACTAATTAAGCACTTAATGAATCCAACCATCATTATGCGAGCAACATTCTGCGACACTGGCTGGCTGGTTAAACACACCAATAGCTCTCTTTCTCTCTCGGTTAAGTCTATCTCTCGATGCGCTAATGTAAATTTTTAATTCTTTTTACTTATACACACAATATATATAATTTTATTTTAGATATTAGAACAAAAACACGTTGAGCTTGCTACTCACTAGCTTTCGTGTTTCTGTACTACACTGCACCTCTTCAGGTGAATGGTGACTGGTGATTAAATAATTTAAAGGAAATCCGATGCAATGAGAACGAAAATAATATATAATTTCCACCGTTCACAACATTTATCCAAAAGAGAACTGGATACCGATAGTAGAGCAATAATTGTTTATTATAATTTTATCATATAGACAAAAACAGTTTACTCACTACAAAGATGTAACTTCGTTTCGGTGCATTTCAATTGCACCTCGACTGATGAGAACCCAAATGGTTATGATATATATATATATATATATATATATATATATATATATATCTCAAACAAAAAAAAATAAGATGTCATTGGAAAGTATTTTCCTAATTGGTAAGATTTTGTGACTTTCTTACATAAAAAAAATGATATTTTCATTAATTCGGTTCAGTTTGACTCCGTAACACATCGGCTTTCTGTGAGTTCAGGAAATTGTTTGTTTTTTTAAGAAAATACTGGTATTTATTAAATCATGTACACCGTTCAGTAACGCTGATGAAAAAGATGAAACTTTTTCGGCCAGCAGGCAGGCTATTTTCGTTGTTATATTCTCATTCAGTCGGTCACAATCATACGCATACACAAACACACACAGACAGGTTTTTGCGTGCATCTTTACGTTCACGTGTTTTTCCCCGCTTTCTAAACATGTATCATTTTCAGACACAAAAGTTTACATATCTTAAATATAGACGATGCTGGATTTTATTATGCAAGTCAGATTTCACTATTATACTGCTATTACAATCCAATTTCGATAACATTTTCAGGATATACATAAATGACAAACATATGCGGTTTTTCAGCTTAAAATATATTTTCTGCATTGTAAATATTTACATTAACTTATCTGGTGGTGTGTAATTTTATTATACATCTCTAGAGTTGTTCATTATACTTTAGATAACTGTATAATTACTGATATT